TTGCCGGCAAAATTCGTGCTGACGCGGCCAACACAACGTTGCGCAACATCCAAATGGCAAGTGTAATGAAAGCAGAACGAAACTGCGCTCCTCGTTATGTGCTTCACGGATCGTTTATCAGTTCGGACCAGCAACATCTGTGCAGCGCGAGCCGATCTCGATCAAGCAACACTGTTACTACACAGCGCTAAGAGATCCGGTAAAGAAAACATTTGAATTTGCCACTGAGGTAATAACATCGCTGCGAGATCTAGTGAGATGCATTCACATTTCTCCGTTATTAACCGTAGATCTCTATTAGATCAAACAGCGCTGTCATGGAAACCAGGAGAAACATTGTGCCGTGAATGAACTAGTACTTTTTGTCCACAGACCAGCAACATTCACCATGGATTTAATATAGTAACACTAACTGGAACCAGTTTGGCTGGAATAGTGAAATGCTTTCAAGTACTTCACACATCTTTTTCCAGCACTTCAAAATTCAAATATTATATAAATAAATATATATTTAAATGTTATTTTTAATGTGATGACCAAAACATTATTTGTTCATCCTTCAAAGATGACCCCTATTTATAAACCTGAAAGTTTCAAGATCTAGGAAAACTCAAACTTATTTAAAAATATTTTTTCTTTAAACAAATAGGAAATTTAGGAAATAGGAAATAGGAAAAAAAACGTACCGAACCGTGACTTTAAAACCGAGGTACGTACCGAACCGTGATTTTTGTGTACCGTTACACCCCTACTAACTAGTAGTGGCTATAAAGCCAGCGCTGGCATTTGAAAAAAAATAAAACACAAGGCTACGTCTGGAATTATACATGCAAATACATTTAAAATGATGAAGTCTTAGCCTACTTACAGATTGTGGCCCAACACTGCTGCCTCTTGTTTTAAAGTTGGAACTGCTTCATGTTTTAGTAACCGTTTCTTGTTGAATCCGGTGTTGAACTCGTGAAGATTCTGGAAGCTGTCTTCCGTAAAATGCGCAGCACAGAGAGCTAAATTACGATCGTCATTTTCAGGAACATAATCAAACATAAATTGTATCCATTGTTGACGAAGTACAGCGTTTGTGGGAAGTTTGAATACAGAACACCTGACAGCTGGATGAACAACTCACTCGACGAGTCGACGTGCCTCAGAAATATGCGCATGCCATTTTCTGCATATTCTGAGGGAGGGGTTGATGCAAATGTGCGGGTTAGTGACGTACCATAACCCAGCTGTAGTCCCAATCGAGTCGTTTTTGTAGGCAATATACTTCCTGATTTTTAAAAGATGATATATCTGCTTACACTGAACTTTAAGCGCTGCAACTTAGCAACATTACACACTATTTAAAATGAAAAAAGTGAAATCGCAATCAACCCCCCCTTTAATAGTAAAATCCAGTCCAATTTTCGGTGGTGTCTGTTGTTGCTAAGCATCCATGCACTGCGCTCTCCACAACGACAAATAAATTTTAATAGATATTCACTACCGAAAAACGCTTTCTGTAGCTCTGCTACATGATTTATTTGTAAATACATGGTTTTATAATTACTATGGTCCTGAATTTGAGGCAGGGTAGTTAGGGGGGTTCGGGGTTTCCCCAAGAAAATTTTGGATTTCTCTAAAGTACAGATGTGCATTTTAAGATAGTGTGAAGGCAAAAAAAAAAAAAGAAAAAAATCGATAACAACAGCTTCAGCTTTAAAACCATGTCAGTGAGCTGATTATTTTTCTCTCCTCATTAGCATCACACTCTTTTTCTCTTTGTTTTTATCTTGACCAGTCTCTTCCCCTCCTAAAGTTGGCTTTTTTTATTTTACTAAAGGCTACAATTTATATTTTATTCTCAATATGTACACATTCATTATTAATCCTCTGCCTAACATGATGAAAACGGCTTTGTTCATGTTTCTTGTCCCCTCACAATGACAGTAGCCTAAACTATTACACTAGGCTACATTACATAGCCTATTTTCAGTTCAAAATGGCGAAATTAGACAACTATATTAGTTTGCCTAATTATTTTTTTATCATTTGTTTAACATTTATGACCAAAAAACTGTCAAATTTATAAAGTTAAGTTTAGCTACTTAGATCTTATCTCGTATTTGACCGTACACTGATCGAGCGTCGAGTTGTCGAGTTACACACACTGTCCTCTGTTTCTGACGTCGTAATCTCTGCTCGGCGCTGCTGCGGATTGAAGATGAAGAACGCGCTGAATCTGATTATAATAAGAAGTTTGATGATTGATTTTTTCATTAGGCTATTTTTAGTGCCCCCTCAGCACTTGGTGCCCTACGCACACACCGCGTGATGCGCGTGGTGGGAGCTGCGGCGCTGCTTGTAACATGAAATCCTGTGTGCTTGCGGCATTCTTAAAAGTTTTCATCTCGCTGCGCCTGGAAACAATCACTTCAATTGTGAAATAACGAACTTGAGAGCGCAAAATACACAATATGTGAACGGCCCTACGGCGTTTATTTAGTCTCAAAACTCGCACACAGGATACGAGAGCAAAAAAGGGGCATTCCTGCAGTGAGCGCGCTCGGCCCCTGACACCCTCCGGCCCCACGCGCAGTCACCCAAACTGACGTGAAAAAAGCGGGAGGCGTCCGTTTGCATCCCTGTACACACAAACACAGCCCGTCTCAGTGCAGGGCTCGCACTAATAAAATCGACTTGTGTCAAATGTAACGTTACATTAAATGTAGTGAACGTGCCCACGACTCAGTAGTACCCACAAACACTACACACCACATGTCCCACGGTTTCTGAAAAAGTAAATCAACACACATAACGTTACAGTCAGCTCAGGCCGATGGTGTTTTCAGTGCAGTGAATGTGCCCGCTGTCCCGCGCACACATTCACTCACAGACATGATAAGCCCCCACGGGGCTCACCCGACTCGCTCTCTCTCAGCAGACTGTTATAAGGGAATCGAGCACGGCAAGGCTGCTCGCCTCAAACACTGCAAGCAAACACAATCTAAAGACACGGGAGGCTGACCGGTTGACTGTTTGTTGACTTTTATTTGCGACATTGCTGCAGAGCTTGTGGCCTCTAGGGACGCTAGACGTGAAAGTTACAGGTCGAGTGCCCCTAGTGGCCAAAAGTTCCGCAGTGTGGCTTTTAAGTTTGGATGCGTGTCTCTTTTGGGCACACCCAAGACTTATATTACATTTTGTGAAAATGTGGCATAATAGTTCCACTTTAATACTTCTGTTTTGGTTTAAAGGTGCTGTATATAACTTTTTGGTAACACTTTACAATACGGGTGCACTAATATGCATTAATTCATCCATAACTAATGCACAGATAATCATGAGTTAATGTATAACTAATGAAGAACTAAACCATTAATTAATGATTACTGCATCAGCAACTAATAAAGAGTCAATATGATTAATAGATTAAGTAATACATGAATTGCTATTAATTCAATGTGTCATTGTGTATTAATTCCTTAATAACATATTTTATTAACTAATCGTGTAAATTAATGTGTTAATTACCACAATTAGTCAAAGCTATGCACTTCAACGTCCAGTTGTCTGCTTTAATTAATCATTAGCTAATTATTTGCAAAGGTATCATTATGTTATGACTTTACTTGTTGTGGCACATCATTATTAACTAGTCAGTAATTGTAGTAATTTGCACATGGATTTGCACTAACAATGAAGTAATTAATGATGTATTAATGCATATTAGTGTACCTGTCATATTATCTGGAATTTGAAATACAAGGCTCTGGCTCATTCTGGCAATTAACATATTAATTAACACTATTAGTTAAAAAAATGAGTTATTATGGAATTAATCCACAATTACATATTTAATTAATAACAATTCATGTATGAACTAATACATTAACCTTACAGACTCTTAATTAGTTCCTAATGTGGTAATCATTAATGAATAGCTTAAATATTCATTAGTTACACATTAATTCAGTATTGTCTGTGCATGAGTTAAGCATGCTTATTAGTGCACACGTATTGTAAAGTGTTACCAACTTTTTGTATGTTATATGTTTGCAGATATTTTCGGAAACATGCTAAGTTCACATACTAATTTCTCTGAAAAACACTTCAGTTATATTACTTATTATTTTACCCTTTCCGTGTTGTCTGATGGTTTTGGTCTGTGTGATCTCGCCCACTGCCAGTTCACCCAATAGTATTAGGTATTGCAATACGCTGTGTTTCCAATAGTCAGGAAACACAGCATATTGCAGCCTTGGAAGCGAACCAACAAACTGGGTCAGAGATTTCAGATTCCACACAGCCTAAAAAAAAATCCATCTAAAAATCTCTATGAACGAGAGCATATTAAAACTCATCAACTTAGTTTAAGTCTCCTCGGCTTTCATTGTCAATAGGCTCTATGCACGCATAAGTTCCACATTTGACGCAAGGCTGCTCTTCAGTTTCCGGTTGGGGAGATTTAAAGCGGAGGAAACCTGAGGAAAATGGGATTATGGCAGAGTCTTCAAAATTTACTGTTCTCCCATCTTTGAAACAAAACTTTAATACGTTTAGATGTAATTTTATATATAGTTATGAATTGTAATGGTATTGTCCATCAATTAAAGTGTATACAAGCAGAAAAGCTTAATACCGAGTCCTGTGGCACCCCATACTTATGTTGAAAAGATGAAATGTCTTAATTCATCGAAAGATTTCATGTTGTCAAAAGATAATCAGTGAAATCTAATGAAAATGTCCCTCCAATTATGTGTATACAAGCAGAGGACATAATACTGAGCCCTGTGGTACCCCATACTTGTGTTGATGAAATGGTGAAATCTCTTCATTTACCAAAAGATCTCATGTTGTCCAAAGATTTAATAGCATTAAAAGAGGCTTTTATGCTTTATGTTGGTTTTAGTGCTTTAATGGTTTCAGGTTGGTTTGATGTACAGTACAGTACAGTTGTCTCCGTGCCAATAAATGGGTTAACTTGTATTTGTCACTGGTTTTTTTTATGGTTTTAGGTCTAATGGCACTGAAAGAGGAGTGTCAAGAACTGGATGAAATGGAAGAGACAAATCAGTGTGAAAAAAATAATAATTTCATTACTGTAGAAAAATCCACACAAACTGAAAAGGCTTCCCCACAAAAAGGATCTCAGAAGATTGAATCCAACAGTTATTTTACCTGCCATCAGTGCGAAAAGAGTTTCAATCAAAAACAAAACCTTGAAGTCCACATGAGAATTCACACTGGAGAGAAGCCTTTCACCTGCCAGCAGTGTGGAAAAAGTTTCACTCAAAAACAAAACCTTAAAGTACACATGAGAGTTCACACTGGAGAGAAGCCTTACACCTGCCAAGAGTGTGGACAGAGTTTTACACATAAAGGAAACCTTAATACCCACATGAGAAGTCACACTGGAGAGATCTCTTTCACATGCCAGCTGTGTGGGAAGCACTTCTCACGAAAAGAAAGTCTTCAGACTCACATGAGAATTCACACTGGAGAGAAGCCATACACATGTGGTCAGTGTGGAAAGAGTTTCAGATGTAAAGTAAACCTTAATTGCCACATGAGGATTCACTCAAGAGAGAAAAGTTTTATATGTCATCAGTGTGGAATAAGTTTCACAGAAAGCAATCACCTTAAGAATCATGTAGTAACTCACATCGGAGAGAAGCCTTTCATATGCCATCACTGTGGAAAGACTTGCTCAAATAAGGCAATCCTTGAGGTTCACATAAGAGTTCACACTGGAGAAAGACCTTTCATCTGTCCTCAGTGTGGAAAGAGTTTCACGCTTAAAGGAAACCTTAACATTCACATGAGGCTTCACACTGGAGAGAGGCCTTTCACTTGTCATCAGTGTGAAACGAGTTTCACTTTTCACACAGACCTGAAACGTCATTTGCAAACTCATTCTGAAAAGAAATTGTAGTGTTCCTCATTGTGGATTCCTCACGTTTACAAAAAAGAGCATTCACTCTGAAAGAATACTATTTAATTTTGATCAGTGGAATAAAAATGGTCATCAAAATTATAGATAGACCTGAATCATATATTTGATTTTATATTTGATTATTAAATACAACAAAAGCAACAGATTGAATAAATTACCTTCCCTATTGCCGTGAAATTCCACAACTTAAATTGACTGAACACGATATATTGCAGCTTTCTGTGAAAATGCTTTAACTATGGTGCTAGAATTGACTCAGAATTAATGTATTTACAAAATATTAATAAATGTATAAGGTAATTTGCATTCATCACTAATATCTCATATTCGCAAACAGCAATTCACACATTCAGGACCTACACTTTCTCTACACTGGACATGATTGGCTAGAGCAAAAGACTGCATGTGGCGTGATGTGACACAACAAATCCCCGACAGTAAACTGATGCTTTTTTAATGTTTCTGCATGTACAGACTGATTGTTGAATCTGCATTTGAAAATCGTCATGTGTATGAATCACCTTGTATTGGTAAATTTTTAGACTTTCTTGACAGTGCTCACTTTGAATGTGGGTCTTTCCAGGGCTGTGAACGGAGCAGAGATTTTCAGTCAAAATTAAAAGGATAACTGACCCAAAGATTTTATAAATGTCATAAATTAATCGCCCTCATGTCATTCTAAAACTGTAATTCTTTTGTTCATCTTAAAAATGCAAATGAAGATATTTTATATGAAATCTTAGAGATTTCTGTCCCTTCATTGACACTCCACGCAACTACAACTTTGTTGCTTCAAAAAGCTAATAAATAGACCGTAAAACTAATCTATATAAAATGAGTGGTTAAGTCCAAATTTTCTAAAGAGACTTTTTATGATGCAGATTTAATTTGTGCTTATCTTCACTGATCAATGTTTATTTGTGAATAAAAGCCTCACCGTACTTGCTTGAAGCACGAGAACAAACCTCATTGGTTCTTGCGTGAGCTCAAACAGGCTGCGTAACACATGAGTATGAACCTTATTGGTTCTTTGCAAGTCAAGCAAACATGCTTGAACGTTTGTTTACCATATCTAATGTGAATGTTGAGGAATGTTTATATGTGAATAAAAGCTTAAATAACATGTGTTCAGCATATAGAGTATGGATTAGTTTGATCTGTTTCAAAAATGAACAGAAGTCTTATGTGTTTGGAATAACATGATGGTGAGTAATGATAAATGGTGAAATAACTCTCATGCACAATGTGAATTTAGTATTTTTTTTTTCTTCTAGGGATTGATGAAGATAAGGTTTGTCAATTGTTCTGTTTATTTTGAAAAGAATACTGTACAACATCTCAAAACAAAAGCAACAGTTTTCATTAATCTTTTGAGTTATGAAATTGTAACCGGCGGATACAAAATGCTTTAAACGGTTAGTTCGCCCGTTTAAGACATGAAGTTGTATGCAATCCTTACAAGCACTATAGTGCATACACACTGACCCACTCTGTTGTCACCCCCCTGGTCAGAGTTCTGACCGCTGGAAGTTTTAAAATGAAGTACTCCCGGCTATTTTCCGGGGCCACAAAACTGCGATTTTACGTGAAAAAATGATTTGCGTTTCAAAGCTTGATTAATTTACCACGCAAAAAACACGCCGGTCAAAATTCATACCTCAGTTTTAGTGCGGCACTATTTTCTATCCATTTCTTTCAATCCGCGCCGCCACAGCGTCAACAGTGCGCACGTTCGATTCCCTGACGGGGAGACCTAGTCCTTTATTGCTGCCCAAAGACCCATAAAAAAGTTTTGCTCGAGCCACGAGTTAAAGGAGGAGTTGGCCAGGGGCAAAAGGCTTTGCGTTGGCCGGGAATCGAACCCGGATCAACTGCTTGGAAGGCAGCTATGCTCACCACTATACCACCAACGCAGGCGGTTGGAGATAGACTAGATGTGTGGTCAGCAAGAATGCTCACACACTAATTGTGCGGTCAACAAGAATGCTTGCAACACATTGTGTGTTCATATTTAAATTAAGCACTTCATATTTAAATGGTATTAGATGATTTGTTTGGTTTCACTGGCTTCTGTAAAGCGATGACATAAAATGACGCATGAGGCCGTTCCTGGAAATGGGAAGGCTGTTTGCAGCGAGCTGCAGTCGGGCTGATGCTGGGCGACTACCTGTCTCTGCAACTCCTCGTTAGTATAGTGGACAGTATCTTCGCCTGTCACAGGCAGGCCAGGCATGTAAACCTGTAGATCGGTGACTAGCCAATCAGAAGCGAGAGAAATTTGAGGGCGTGTCCCAGGTTTTGTTAATATTATTCCCCACTGAAACATCGGTTCGAATCCCAGCTGAGCTGAAAATGAAGATGTTATTTATACCCTTTGACACATTCACTAATTCATATATTAAATGGAGTATGAATCAGTTATCACTTTACTTTTGTTTTCTAATATGAAACTTGTTTCTGTAGGACACTTATTCTACTGAATGATAAATTAATTGATGCAATGTGATATACAACCTATTGTGCTTGTCCAAAATAACAGTCAAGGATTTTCGTGATATTTTCAGTTAAATTATGCTTTAATAAAAAATAAAAAGAATAAAATATACAATTAAAAATAATACTTTTTTATTTTTTAAAATACAACAACATTATACAACAACACTATGTACAGTACATGTTAAGTACACAATAATGTGAACCAAGGCAATTGGATTAAATGAACAAATGTAAAAAAAAAAAAAAATATGGGAAAATCTCAACATGACTAAAATAAATAATATATGAAATCAAATGCCTACTGAACAAAGGTCTATGAAAGAATAAAAATGAAACAGGCTACACAGTACTTTTTCAGTTAAAACAAAGATTATGCTACTACCAATGTGCATGTATACAGTAGTTATAAATATGATTGTGCCAAAAGTAACACACTAATATAAAGTAAGAACAATATAATAACATGCTTAAGAAATATTATATGCACAAAAAATCTTACAGGTGAAATGCAAAGTATTTACAATTACATAAGATTAAAAGTAGTGCTTTCCGTCACCCAAATAACATTTTAACTGACAAATTATGCATATAACAGTAAAAGTTAAGCATATTAGCATACTTTTTTAAAATTTTACAATCAAGCATGGACCAACATGGCATTCTAAAGTAAACAAACAAACAAAAACTCAGAAAAACAAATATCCAACACAAACAAGATACAGAGTTATTTTTTTATGATACAATAATTACAATATATACATTTAAAACCAGGAAACATGAGGGCAGTCACTTTCCCTTTTCTGCTACCCATCTCTTCCTTTCCGCCTCATAAAAGGAAGATTGACAGAACTCTCCCCAAGTCATCTCATGAGTCATCCCCTCTGTCCGATATAGGGAAAACACTTTGGCAGGACAATATACATATTTCCCTGCCACACCAGGGAACCCAGTATGTGTATGTGGACTATCTGGGCCTTGTTTGAGGGGCTTGTGGCAGAACCTACAGAGGCGACCAGTGGGATGATGCTCCATGGCCTTTCTCTTTCCCCGCTCTTCCATTACCTGTCTTGCCGCTGCAGAGCGCTGCTTTGCGGCCTGTAGCTCTCGATTAAAAAAAGGTGTTTCAGCAAAGTCAGCAAACGGCATTCGAGGATTGGTGAGGCCTTCCGCTGCATACACCTGGTGTACCTTTGTAGAGCAGTTAAAGTACTTCACGCTCCCAGACTGATAAAAAAAATGAATGGAGAAGCCATCACCATGGTAACGTGACTGGTAGTTGGCTTTTGGCAGTCCTGCAAAAATGTAACGACGGGACAGCCCCTCATACTGTACATTGGCTGCAGGGATTTATCACATTCAGACTGCAGCATCACCCAGGACAAGATCATCCAGTTTTCATTCATCACAGCGTATGATGACATAGTACCTGATGCAAGCACAACCTTCCGGGCCACTTTGCGGGTATGGTCAGCCCTTAATACTTGTCCAAATGTGCCTTGAAGGAGCAGATTGAGTGTGCTCTCCTGCCTATGGTACTCCTGAATGAGGCAGTCAACCAAGTAGTGGGGTGAGACTGTTACTCCAAACCAGCCGACCACATCACCATACTCACCAAATGGAGCAGGAGTATTTGCTGCTCTTAGTGCCCCTCTGATGGTCTGTTGACCATAAAGTCCCCTGTCTCCATCCAGCACATTCTTAACTGTGGACAGGTAAGCCAGGTGTGCACGCTCATACCTGAGGTGGAGAGCTTCGTTCAACTGATTGGCCATATCATTGGGAGACTTTCCTGTGCGCCGCAACTCCTCCATCTAACGTTACTATGATTCGCTATCAGCCGAATCAGATCCTGAAACTTAACACTCGCCTTATTCCATCGAACATTGCTGCTCTCAAGGAACTGGGCATCCTTCGTCGACCCCCCTACATTCATAGGGGGTCACGGCGGCGTTTTGTTTACTCCGAGAGGATCACCGAGAGCTCTATTTCGAGCCTGTGGACAGTTGCTAGTACCGGCACACACCAACGACATCATAAGAAGCGTCATCAGAGCGCTGTTGGTTCACGCCTCAAAAACTGTAATCGACCACACCCACGCCCTCTGCTGGAGGAACTACCCACTGCGCGTCCTGAGAAACGCAGAGTGGATCCTACCGTGCTGCGTTCTCTGATAAGGTGGACTCCATCTTCAAATATTAAAATGGAACTGTTAAATTGTCAATCACTTACCACTAAGGCATCTTTTATTCACAACTATATATTTGACCAGAAGCTTGATTTTATGTGCCTCACTGAGACATGGCACAAATCAGAAGTGTATTCTGCACTTAATGAAGCTTGCCCACCTGGCTACTCTTATCTGGAAAAAGCTAGGGGAAATGGTCGTGGAGGGGGTTTGGCGGTCATTTATCGCTCTGATTTTCACCTATCTTTAGTGACCGTGCCAAAGCTGTCATCATTCGAATGTCTGGCTTTTAGATGTGACTTACCCACTCCATTCACAACCATCCTTATATACCGACCACCTAAATCACACCCCTGTTTTATTGCAGAATTAACTGAGTTACTTTTATCAGTTTCTACCACATCAAACAATGTTGAAATTCTTGGAGACTTTAACATTCATGTTGAATCTCCAACAAGTTTATACACCACAGAATTACTGCAATTGTTTGATTCACTCAACCTCAGGCAACTCGTGACAGTCCCTACACATATCAAAGGGCATACACTGGATCTCATTGTGACAAACTTTCCGGTCAACAGTGTTCATGTACATGACTTAGGCATATCTGATCACAATGCCATTTCATTTGACTTTTCACTGTCGACTTCACTTAATAAACCTAAACATAAAATCTGCTTTCGCAAAACAAAAGAAATTAACCTTGAACATCTGTCATATGATTTACAAAAACTTACCACATCTGCCGATCACTCTACTACTGACACGCTTGTCGATCATTACAATATCAGATTGAAAGGGATACTAGATGCCCATGCACCCCTCAAGACTCGGACTGTAACATTTACACGTTCTGCTCCATGGTATACTGATGCACTTCGTAGACAGAAGGCGGCTGGGAGGGTCCTTGAGAGACGCTATGTTGCCACTGGGCTCACTGTTCACAAAATCATTTATAGAGAGCACCAAAGGTCATATTCCAAATTACTCAGTCAGGCACGGTCACAATACTACTCTAATATCATTAACAACAATCCAAGAAATCCAAAACAGCTCTTTAAAACAGTAAACTATCTTCTCAGTCCATCTTCCCTGACGCATAAAAACAATACTGATGACCAGTGTAATAAATTCCTTGATTTTTTCAACACTAAAATAACCACCATCCGCACTAATCTAATACCAAGCAATGTCACTTCATCCATCAGCTCAATCTCTGCACCAATACTCTCTCATTTCACTACTTCAACACATAGACAGGTTGAGACTCTCATACACAGTATGAGACCCTCAACATGCTCACTGGACCCTTTTCCCACTATTATGATCAAATCAAATATTAGTTCTTTAAGTTCTTTCATCACTACCATCATTAACTCCTCCTTGCAATCGGGTCTTTTTCCAATTTTGCTTAAAACTGCTCTCATCAACCCTAGGCTAAAGAAACCATCTCTTGATCCTGATATCTTATCAAATTATCGTCCCATTTCCAATCTTCCATTTCTCTCCAAAGTCATTGAAAAGATAGTTTCAAATCAAATTCATAACCATCTTCACTCACATAGTCTCTATGAAAAATTTCAGTCTGGGTTCCGCTCTGGCCATAGTGTAGAGACAGCCCTGGTCAGGGTCACAAATGATCTTCTTGTGGCTGCTGACCAGGGCTCTCCATCTCTCCTTATTCTCTTGGACCTCACAGCCGCCTTTGACACTGTTGACCACGCCATTTTACTCCATTGTTTGCAACACCTCATTGGCATCTCACACACAGCACTTCAATGGTTTCGATCCTATCTGACTGACAGGGTTGAGTATGTGGCCCTGGGGGGGGGCCAGGTCGAGGCCCCACATAGTCACATGTGGAGTGCCCCAGGGTTCCGTTCTCGGCCCTACCCTTTTTTCCATTTATATGCTCCCACTGGGCCACATCATCAGCAAGCATGGCGTTGCTTTCCATTGCTATGCTGATGATACTCAGCTATATGTCAGGCTAGACCCAACATCACCTACACTATCACTGTCCACTCTAAACTCCTGCCTGGAGGAGACAAGGGCATGGATGACGGATAACTTCCTCCAGCTAAACAGCACCAAAACTGAAGGTCTCCTAATTGGGACCCCACACCAACTCCGATCTTCCCCCCTGACCGTTTACTCATTTGCTGGCCATGATATTCATTTGACATCCTCCATAATAAACCTGGGGGTACGATTTGACGCCCATTTATCATTTAATACTCACATCCAACACATCTGTAAAACTGCATTTTTTCATCTCCGGAACATCTCCAAACTCCGCCCCTCCCTCTCCTTTTCTGATGCAGAAATGCTGGTGCATGCCTTTGTCTCCTCCAGGCTTGACTTTTGCAATTCACTCCTCGTTGGGATCCCTGGCAGTAGCTTGCAAAGATTGCAGTACATTCAGAATTGCGCTGCCAGGGTCCTGATGAGGGTGCGCAAATTCGAGCACATCACACCTATCCTCCAAAAACTCCATTGGCTCCCTGTCAGATTTAGGATTGATTATAAGATCTGTCTCCTAACGTATCAGTGCGTCCACGGTAGCGCACCAGAGTACCTCACAGAACTCATTAATATTCATAATCCATCCCGACATCTCCGCTCTTCTGATACTCACAAACTCCAGGTTCCTAAGTCTAAACTCCGCACTATGGGAGACAGGGCCTTCCAGGTAGCTGCACCTCGAATTTGGAATGCTCTACCTAATCACCTGAGAGCGCCACAGTCTATAGAGGTTTTTAAAAATAAACTAAAGACCCACCTATTTTTAACTGCATTCTCTTAAACTATATTTGCTTTTGTTGTTAACTGACTGTTCTTAAGTCTGTTGTTTTAATTCTGTCATTGCATGTTTTTATATCTATTCTTATTATTTTTATCTGTACACTTGTAGCACTTTGAGATATGTTCGTCATGTGTAAAGTGCATTACAAATAAAATTCATTATTATTATTATTATCCATCACAGTCTTACATATGGCCTTCTTGTGCGTCAGAAAAGCTGGAAAAATGTTGCAGAATCGACTTGGCAGCATCTCCATCCATTGGGGTTTGTCTGCAAACCAGTACTTTTTACAGACTTTACAGGTGAGCCGAGAGGCCAGCATATAGTACTGGCTGCTTGTACCAATAATGACACGGGGTCGTCCAACTCCTGATGAGACAACTTGAGGATTTGGACAGCCGTTCAGACATGGCAGAGTGTAGTTGTTGCGGACTCTTTCCATAATGGGGTGCTCTGGTTTCCAAATGAAGAATGGATGAAGTTGAAAGTATTTTGGTGATGGCAACTTATAGACAGAATCAATAAGCTCAGGCTGAGGTGGGTAACGCCACAAGGAGATCATGTTCATTGGATGTCTCACCATTCTAGAGCCTGGCCACAGTCCCAGGTTTTTTCATTTCTGTTTTCATCCAGATTCTCTGCTGGTGAGAGCAGTTCCATTGGCTTACATCTTGCTCATAGCCTGGCAGTGGTGGATGTGCTGGCTTCTCCTCCAACTGAGTTGAGGGGTACCCAGCAGAGGCTGCAGGGAGTGCTGTGGGCAGAGTAGAGGCTGCAAGGAGTCCTGACTGGACAGCAGCTGAAGGGGGCCTGAGGGAGGAGTAGATGCTATAGACTGTGTAGAGGTCACTGGGAGGAAGGCGGCAGGATGACATGGTTGACATTAGTCATAGATGAGCATTACATTTGTAACATATGTTAAATCTGTTTTAAATTTTATTAAGTAAAATTATGTTACATTAAGTCCTTACATTGACAAAGCATGGTTTCCTGCACTGGTCTCAAAGGCGATGTGGTCTTGCTTGTCGATAACCCCAATTCAAGCAACTCTGGAGGTACTGGCAAAGGAACCCTCACTGGAGTGAATGGAATTGGTGAAAAACAATAACACTGATCAGAAACAGGCATATCCTTACAATAGAGTCGGCATGTGTACACGTCCATATACTAACCTGGATGTGGAGATGCAGTAGCACTATATTCATCAGGCCGGACTGGTTTTAAGAGTGTTGCTGGTGGTTTACGCCTCCCTAACACAGAAAAATGTAATGTCATTTTAAAACCCTGTAGTACTGTCCCTTAGTAAATGTGTTATTACGTAGTAATGTAAATGCAGGGTTCTCAAGTTTGAGCAAAAGCTTGGAGTGAGATCACACACGGTTAGGGGAGGAGCCATAATGAAGCCCCACCCATCCCCGCCCCCAATTTTACCCATTGTTCATAATTAACCAGAAAAAATTAAAATTATTACAATTAGTAAATCTGATAAATGCCAGAGCAATTCATCACATCAAATACTCTTTAATGAAGTATTACAAATATAGCTAACCAAAAATATAACAAATTGCTCCAAACAGTTTCAAACAAATCTTTAAAAATTGCATTTTGATTTTTGAATGCGTCTTCTATCTAGACGAATGATTTATTGTGTGGTGGGACATTGAGAACAAAGGGACAGATTAGAGTGCACCACCTCTTCCACTGTCTCCTCCTCTAATCTGGCAACCTTTTTAGGGGGCTTACCCTTTGGTGCCCAAAATGACAAAATATCTTTCTGCTTTTTTCCTGACATCTTTGAAAAATACAAATGCAACATTATGACAATGATTAAATATTACCCAGAGCAATCTGCTGTAATACATCCTTAATGTAACTAGAAAGACTATTAATATTACAGTATAATATAGTTTAAAATAAAATTAGTAAATCTTCATTCCTTTCCATACCCACTAACATTTCTCTTAGTTTCAGATAACGTAAGATAGCCAAACTGTGTCAGCACAGATACAAAAGGATCCAAAAGCGAAAGGAGTTCAATGCAAAGTCTTTAATGTCCAACAAAAATCAGCTTTCAGATAGCTTAGAACTACAACAGAAATATTCTCAGCATGAATGGTCCATGAAGAAGGCAGCTGAGCAGAGGGAGTTGAGGATGCGGCTCACCACAGCAGGACACAGGCGAACAGGAGACAACAAGGCGTATACTGCTACACAAGACAAGACACAGGTAAGATTCCTTGGACAGCCAAAAATGAGAGCGCGTACTCACACAATAATCTGACATAGAACAGAGAGAACAAACAGCAGAAGTAGACGGAGTAATCAGACAGGACAAGACACAGGTGAGGGCGCAAGGCAGCGAGCCGCTGATTGAGATGATCAGCAGGTGGACCCTGGCAGTAAGTGTGTGCGCAGGAGAGTGCGAGAGATAAGGGTGTAATTAAGTGTGTGTGGTAATATGAAGGAGAGAGAGAACAGAAAAGTACCCCAGATCCTGACAGTACCCCTCCCTCAACGAGCGCCCCCAGGCGCTCCCGAGGAAGAGGACTGGCGGGACCGATAGAAATCCTCGATGAGGGAACGGTCCAGGACGTCCCGGGCCGGAAATCCACCGCCTCTCCTCAGGACCATAGCCCTCCCAGTCAACCAGGAACTGGTGGCCACGCCCCCGAGGACGAACATCAAGCAGTTTGCGGACTCTGTAAATGGGATCCACCTCGTCAAGAGGTGGGGGGGGGCAGGGCGGGACGGGTGGGAGCGCGAATGACTGGTTTGATACAGGACACATGAAAAACAGGATGTACCCGACGTAACTGGCGAGACAATCTCAACTTGACAGCTACCGGACTAAGGACCTTCAGAATAGCAAAAGGACCAACAAAACGGGGCATAAGCTTTCTGGCGCCCTCACGAATGGGCAGATTCTGGGTGGAAAGCCACACCTTCTGCCCACAAACGTAACGAGGGGCTTTAACCCGACGACGATTAGCCGCTCTACGAGTGCGCGCCCTAGACTGACATAACGCAGATCTCACTCTCCTCCAAGTACGCTTGCACCTCTGAATAAAAGCCTGAACGGATGGCACGGAAGTCTCAGCCTCTTGGGAAGCGAAAAGAGGCGGTTGGTAACCGAGACAACTCTCAAACGGAGATAACCCAGTGGCGGACGAAGGAAGCGAGTTATGGGCATATTCGGCCCAGGCAAGCTGGTCGCACCAGGATGCTGGACTCTGAGAAGTCAAGCTGCGCAACATACGTCCGAGTATCTGATTGGTCCGTTCGGCTTGTCCATTGGTCTGGGGATGGAATCCTGACGACAAACTGGGGGACGCCCCAATCAGTCGGCAGAATTCCCTCCAGAACTGAGAGGCGAATTGGGGCCCTCGGTCAGACACAATGTCCGAAGGAAGACCATGAATCTTAAATACGTGATCTACCACAATCTGGGCGGTCTCTCGGGCGGACGGTAGCTTAGGAAGCGGAATTAGGGTGACCACCCGTCCCGCGTAGCGCGTGCGCGCACAGCGTTTGAAGCCCAATTCATGCGTCCCGCAAATTGAGACCGCGTCACGCATAATCAATGCTTGCTCAAAAAAAAGTCGGTCACTCTTTATCCTCGAGACGCAGGCAGCCAAACGTTGTGCCTGAACACGTTCACGTTCATGAACTTGTTCATATTTTGGGTGAACTGAACGTATTTTTTAACTGCCTGTCCTGATGAACGTGTGAACTCGTTCATTCTGGTGTCGCACGCTCTCTCAGTTTAACTTCGTTCAATGGGGTGCCAGATTTCTATAGAGCCTTCCAGGCGAACACCCTGCTAAAACTCACCGTAAACAGGGCTCAATATGTAGCGAAAAAACACCAAATCTGGCAACACAAACCACCAGCCGTCGACAAAGGCGTCGTATGATAATTTAAACGGATTTTATAACGAGGTCGGTGAAGATGGGAAAAATCTTACATTTCTGTGTAAACTTGAACTTAACTAGTTCATTTTAAAATGTGTGAACTGAACTTTGAACTAGTTCATGTAGAAAGTGAACTTCATCAAGACTGGTTGCCACTCCCACGTGACCTGCTGACTAGGTTGATGTCAACTTTTTCATTGTTGTCATGACAGCGCAGCTTCTCATTCCGTGAACCTCTGGAGTTGTGAGTTTAGACTTTTTTTCGACTTTTTTTAAACTGTTCCTGTGGTGTTGAGCAACTATAATTCCTGTTAATCCTATAATTTTCTACTTTTATTGATTTAAAGTGAATTAATTGTAATAAAAATAAATAAAATTAAATAGCTAAAGTAAATCGTAAGTGGAAGTGCTGTCAATTCATTGAATGTTCAAAATATTCATCTTTATTTAGAAAACAAATACACATTGGTTGGCCTATTCATGAGAATATATCAGCAATTACACATGTTTAGGGAATAGGGCATTATTAATGCATGTGCTAAGGTATGTGCTTTTTTTTAACAATTATTTATGTACAAACAGTAAGGCAATAGTAACAATTCTAGATATGGGTAAACCTCTATCAGAGTCTGCCCGTGGGGTGGGGGCACCGCCGCGCCAAGCAGTGTCCCACATTGTCCCTCAGAAACATACCCCTTGTCCCCCCTTGGGCTTATTAGCAGGTGGTCACCCTAAGCGGAATAAAGTGGGCAGCCTTAGAAAAACGGTCGACTACAGTAAGAATAACAGTGTTACCGGCCGATGACGGGAGCCCGGTAACAAAATCCAAACCTATGTGCGACCAAGGGCGAGACGGAATGGGAAGTGGTCTGAGGAGACCCGAAGGCGGGGTATTGCTTGACTTAGTTTGGGCACAGACAGGACAAGAAGCTACAAATCGACGTACGTCACGTTCTCTAGTGGGCCACCAAAATCTCCGACGAATGGAGGCTAATGTACCCCTAACACCAGGATGGGCGACTAACTTAGAGGCGTGACCCCACTGGAGGACGGACGAGCGAATGGTCTTGGGAACAAATAACGTCCCTAACGGGGCACGAGGGGGTCTGACCGTGCGTGAGAGAGCCCTCCTCACCGCCTGCTCAACTCCCCAGACAGCAGCTCCGACCACACAGTGCTGGGGCAGAATAACCTCCTTGGTCGAAGCTGCCTCTGTGGAGTCGAACAGCCGCGAGAGGGCATCAGGCTTAACGTTCTTGGAACCTGGCCTAAAAGAGATCGAAAAATCAAAACGACCAAAAAATAATGCCCAGCGGGCCTGACGAGCATTAAGTCTCTTGGCGGAGCGGATGTACTCGAGGTTACGGTGGTCAGTCCAAACGACAAATGGAACTTTGGACCCCTCTAACCAGTGCCGCCACTCCCCCAAGGCCAGCCGAACCGCCAAAAGCTCCCGATTACCAACATCATAATTGCGCTCTGCTGGAGAAAGGCGATGGGAAAAGAAGGCGCACGGATGAACCTTGTCATCTAGAGAAGAACGTTGAGATAAAATAGCTCCTACGCCTACATCGGAAGCGTCAACCTCGACTATAAACTGTCTCTCAGGATCAGGGGTGACCAAAATGGGCGCGGAGGTGAATAGCCTCTTTAGTCGATCGAACGCGTCTTGTGCCATCTCTGACCAAACAAACTGAGACTTAGTTGAAGTGAGAGCAGAAAGAGGGGCGGCCACCTGACTGAAGTTACGAATGAATCGTCTGTAAAAATTCGCAAAACCTAAAAATCGTTGGAGAGCAACACGAGAATTCGGAACGGGCCAATCGAGAACCGCCCGCACCTTCTCGGGATCCATGCTGATACCCTCAGCAGAGACCACCGAACCAAGGAAGGTGACCGATCGAGAATGAAAAACACATTTCTCGGACTTAACAAAGAGACGGTTCTCGAGTAGTCGCTGTAATACCCGACGAACGTGCTGCACGTGTACTTCGAGTGAGGGAGAGAAAATGAGGATGTCGTCCAGGTAAACGAATACAAAGACATTTAACATGTCACGCAAAACGTCGTTGACCAACGACTGAAACACAGCCGGAGCGTTGACCAGACCGAAAGGAAGAACGCGATACTCAAAGTGCCCTATAGGGGTGTTAAACGCAGTCTTCCATTCGTCTCCCTGTCTAATGCGAACGAGATGGTACGCGTTACGCAAATCCAACTTAGTAAAGATCTTTGCGCCCTGCAAGATCTCGAAAGCTGACGACATAAGGGGCAAGGGGTAGCGGTTCTTGACCGTTATGTCGTTCAACCCCCGATAATCAATGCATGGGCGCAACGACCCATCCTTCTTTTTAATGAAGAAGAATCCAGCACCCGCTGGCGAGGAGGACGGAACAATAATTCCAGCGT